AGCGCCGTGTCCCATCGGAATCGGTCCTTCTCTTTCAATCCTCGCCCAGGGTATTTGACCCCTTCCATGAAGGTAAATTGGTCCTGCTGGTTTCAATGCATTACATAATTCTGCTGGCTTTGTTTTTCCCAAAGGTAATGGCAGCTTATTTATCAATTGTCCAGCATTCATTTAGACGAATATTCATTGAAAATAAGACCCCCAGGAAATAGTCCAAATTATTAATAAACAGTATTTATATCTGGCTAGGCAGATTATGTTTTTTATGAGATTTTTTAATTTTCCAAACTTTTTATATATAAATGTGTCACTATTAATAATGGCTATATCTGGGTGATAGGAAAGAGAGAGGAAAGAGCAGGAATCCTTCACTGTAACTTTTTTTCCTTTTACAAAAATTTTTGGAATTTATTACAGTGAGAATATTCACGTCCAAATCTCTCATCTGCTATCACAAAATCCTAAAGTGCTTAAAAATTTGTATTTTTTTTGTAACTCATAGGACAGTAAATCTAACCCAAGCTGAATTCATGTAAGCTCATTTATAACTTTTATATATCGCTCTTGGTGTGACAAAATGTAAGTTTCACTCCAGAAATATTAATGTGTTTGAGGACAAGGTGGGCCCAGCTTCTGCTGGGGGTGTTATATAGCCTTTTAAAATCTAAAACAAGATTTTAAATTAAAAATCACACTTGTCACCAGAAATTTTGGATAAGAGATTGTGAGCCTATGTTTTTTTAAAGCACAAAGTGGATTGGAAGAAAAAATGCTTTAAAAACAAACATGTAAGTTATTGCCTCCTTGCTCATATAATTTTGGTTGGGCAGGCCTTATCTACTTTTACGACAATGCCTCTTTGGGTGGTACTAACGGGCCTTTCCTTTAATACCAACAGAAAAAGAAGATGGAGGAAGTGCCCAGCCGAGTGGTCAGTGTGCCAAACCTCGCTTCCTATGCTAAGAACTTTCTGAGTGGCGACCTGAGCTCCAGGATCAACACTCCTCCGATAACTAAGTCACCCAGCTTGGACCCAGGCCCCAGCTGTGGCCAGCCTTACAAACCCACCCCATCTCTAGATGTAAAAACTGCCACAAGGTAGGGGGCCAAAGCTATGATTCCATTTTCCCATGGTCAGGAGGGAAATTAGTATTCCTTTCTGGTACCTGTTAAATACCCAGCATTTGGGCCAATACAAAGGGTAACGAAACAAGCCCTGCCTTGGACAAATTACAACCCAGCCAAAAAGGAAGATGTGTAAGAGAAGGGAAATAGGTCATTCTTTAGAAGAGGCACTATTCCTGATACCAAATTCCAGAAAACTTTTTTTTTCCCCATGGATGATTAGACAGGGGACATTGAATCACTTAGCTGACCACTTCAGAGTGGGTCACACAGAAGATGGACTCATCATCTGGCCTTGAGTCTGGATTCCAATTCTCATCCTTGTTGTTAGCTTGCTTGGCTTTGGGCAGCTCACTTGACTTCTCTGTTTCCTCACCTCTAAAATGAAGATAATACAGCACCTACCTCATTAGACTCATGTGAGACTGAAGGAATTAATCCATAGGACATGCTTAGCACAAGACCTGGCACAGAAGCATTCAGTAATTTTCCACTATTATTATTAAGGTTATTTCTCAAGATTCATTGTATAATCTTGTAATTTTAAGGCCTCTTAATCTGTGGGTTTGGTTGATCATGCATGATGATCTCTGATACTGCCTTATTTTTCCAGAAGCCCTTGAGGCTTCTGGAAATGTGCGATTTCCCCTTTGTTTATTGATTCCTGCCTGTCCAGCCTTCCGTTCAGAGCAGTATCTTTAATTCTGGGCTTTGAAGTTTGCATTTCTGAAAGGGCCCCTTCTGAAATGTTCCTTTTCCAAAGGCCCTGCCTCCCCAAGGCTATTTGGACAAATGTGAGTGTGGAGCTGGAAGGACTTGCTGTCAGTCATTGAACGAGTCCAGCCCTTTGTGTCACAGCTGAGGACACTGAGGCCTGGAGCCCCAAGCACACGGTCTGGTAACTGCCAGAGCCAGCCTGACTGGCTACAGTTCATCTCATTATCACACACCTCTGTTTAAAGCTGTGTTCCCACTGTTTGTTTTAAAGATTTATTTTATTTATTTTTGGCTGCATTAGGTCTTAAGTTGCGGCACGCGGGACCCTTGTTGAGGCGTGCGGGATCTTCTGTTGCAGCGTGCAGCCTTCTCTGTAGTTGTAGCATGCGGGTTTTCTCTATTTTGGTGCGCAGGCTCCAGGGCCCGTGGGCTCTGTAGTTTGCGGCATGTGGGCTCTTGTTGAGGCGCCGAGCTCAGTAGTTGTGGCACGCAGGATTAGTTGCCCCGCAGCATATGGGATCTTAGTTCCTTGACCAGGGATCAAACCTGCGTCCCCCACATTGTAAGGCAGGTTCTTTATCACTGGACCACGGGGAAAGTCCCCCCACTGTTTTATAAGAAGCTTCACAAACGCAGTTAGAGACCGTTCAGACAGATATACACTGTACTTTCTTACCTACCGTCTCCCCTTTTCAATTTATTAGGCTAATTTCACAACCTCATTGAAATGCCAGAGCACATCAGATAACTTTTGAAGAAGCCATAAAGTGTAATACTGTATTGATTAACCATTTCTTCTTTTACCTGTTTTTGGAGGGGGTTGTTTAATTTGTGCCTGAAATAAACAGTACATGTTGCAAAATATGTGGCATGTGGGATCTTCCCAGACCGGGGCACGAACCCGTGTCCCCTGCATCGGCAGGCAGACTCTCAACCACTGTGCCACCAGGGAAGCCCTAGTATCTTTTTAAGAGTAAAGAAGCAGTTATCTTTCCCTAAAAAGATTAGTAGAGTATTAAGTTGTTTATTGAATAATTTTCAAAACCATCTAAGAAAACGTTTTGTTTGTTTTTAGGACACAAGATGATGAAAGAGCCCAGCCCAAAGAAGTCCAGCAGAAGCAGGGCTCAGCCCACCAGGAATGGTTTACCAAATATTTTTCTTTCTAAACTGATCCTTAAGCTGATCATAAAGTGGACATTTGAAACGCATTTCTTTTGAAGCATCTGATTGAAGGAATGAACTAAAAAGCCAACCAACCAAATAACTTGCTTGTAATATGATTTACATACATAGCTAAAACAAATTCTTGCATTAACATTTCATACTGCTTCATTGTGACATTAAGATAAAACAAGCCAGTGTTATCAGAAAGTGCCCATAGGGAAATATTATTGTTACTGATGACCTACCCATGGTATTTCTAGTGTCCATAAGACTGCAATCCGCATTGTGGAATATCAGACTTTGTGATTTCCATGGTCTACTTTTAAAGTGGTTTCATTTTCCTAGGACACTGGTCACCTTCACTTGAAAAGTGTTTCTATGTAAATGATGTAATTCCAAAATACACATGTAACCTCAATAGGTAGAGGAATAAAACAAAGCTCAAAATAACCAGGAAAGCCAATTTTAAAAAACCAAAGAAAACAAAACTACTAGGAATGGACTATAGCAGACCTTGGCACACTTGGATCAAATATTTTGACTTCCTAGGTCCAGGACATGAAGAAGATTACAGAGGGCATAACAGCTACCTCAAAGGGGCTTTTTGAAGTTTAAGCAAAATATGGGTAATGATACTAATCGTGAATTGGAATTAAGCCTTGCCAGGATTTTTCTGTGAATAACTGAGCCTCACCCCATCATACATCTCAACTTCAATGACTGTAGCATCAACTTGGTCATTTGTGATAGTTTCTAGATTATTCTTTGAAGTGAAAGATCTACTGAACCTCTAGTACTGCCTCATGGTGCATTGCTTCCCCACTGCATGGATGCTCAGCAGATTAAAGGGAACTGGGAATGGCCATTCACAATGCTGACCTTGCTGTCAGTCCACGCTGAGCTGTCTGACCCTCTGATGGAGCGGTGCAATTTGACAAGAGCCAGTACAACTTTTAGTGGTCAAAATATGTTCTCAATCCTTTGGTGCTGGCCCAGCAAGTGGCCCATAAACAGTTGTCTCTTCTATGCACCATCAAATCTTTGCTCTTTGAATAAAACTTTATAAACAACTAGGCAATAAAAATGGTTGTGATTTGTATTAATTTTCCAAAGAAAGGTGAAATTAGATGAAGGGTGAACTTGGAAATAGGAAGCGCACATTAACCTCAGTCAGATCATCAATAAAACGTAGCTGCGGTGCTTTGTGACCGCCTAGAGGAGTGGGATAGGAAGGGTGGGAGACGCAAGAGGGAAGAGATATGGGGATATATATATATGTGTAGCTGATTCACTTTGTTATAAAGCAGAAACTAACACACCATTGTAAAGCAATTATACTCCAATACAGATGTTAAAAATAATTAATTAGAATAAAATAAAAAAATAAAACGTAGCTGCTCACGCACTTATGTCATTTTGAGAGAAATGCAATTACAACTCAGACTCACAATTTAAAAGTAAATTTACTACCTAATCAAAACATATGGCCCAATAACATAAATTTTTAAATATCACTGCTCCTACCCTCCCCCAAAAGTAAATGAACACTACACAAAATATAAACTCACCCCAAATAAAAGTCAACATTAAGGGGGCTTCCCTGGTGGCGCAGTGGTTGACAGTCTGCCTGCCGATGCAGGGGACACGGGTTCGTGCCCCAGTCCGGGAAGATTCCACATGCTGCGGAGCGGCTGGGCCCGTGGGCCATGGCCGCTAAGCCTGCGCATCTGGAGCCTGTGCTCCGCAACGGGAGAGGCCACAGCAGTGAGAGGTCCGCATACCGCAAAAAAAAAAAAAAAAGTCAACATTAAGGATACTGCTGGATTCCTATAGCACTAGTTACTGCAGTACAGTAACAGTTATTACACTAACCTACGATATTATAATCCTCTTCCAACCTATTTACAAAATATCCTCATTCTGAGGTTCTGGAAGTGTTACATCGTTGCATTAGACTCCTCTTCTTTAGGTAGTTCAGTCTTGAAAAACAGCAAATTTACATATTTTTATATACTGCCACTGATAGGTAAATTATCATAAAAGGCCTACAACCAAAATCCTCATCCTTTGATATGCAGATCAGATCATACAAGCTTTTCCCCTCAGATCATACAAAATAATCTAAAACTGGAAACAGAGAGATAAACACTCATACAAAAATAAAAACAAGCAGCAAAAAACAAAAACATAAAAAGGAATCTGTAAACGGCATCATATTAACAGTCTTAAATTTTGCTAAAGACAATACACTTGGTTTACCAAAGCAATAAGCATTTTATAAAGTACTCCAGAAATAACGCTTATAAAAATAGGGGGAAATTTTTAGATGAGAGCGCAAAACTAAATCATCTCACTCTCTGGCAAAGAGTTCTCCCAAAATGTCATGTCTACAAGAAGTGAGGTTTGGCAAAACTGTGTCTGGGCTGACTCATGAACCAGCTCATGTTCAGGTGGCTTTTCCTCAGGTTTGCTTCATCGGTGCAGGGATATTTGCAGATGCCTGCTCGAGGTAGGCCAGGGAACCCTGAGGGATGTCGGCTGGCTTTTTGTGCTGCATGTTGATGTCCTCCAGCACCTGCTGCCAATGTCTCAGTTTTGTTAAGTGCTTCTGGACCAGAGCATCCTTTCGCTGTAATTCGTTCCTCAGTTCCGAGACATCCTACAAACGAAAGCAATGAAGTCAGAGTAAACTCACAAAACATGAACATAGTTTCTGATTAGTTAAGAGCACTAAGAAGTAAATTCAAAACAGAGAACCAACTGAACCATAGTGGGCTGATTACTCTGCTTGGCTGCATACTTTGAATAACCCAAAACAATTCTTCTCATGAAAGATGACTGCTTAACAATTTTTATTTTTAATTCATGTTCTTTTAGTAAGTAATACACACATTACAAAATTCCAAAGTACCAAAGGACAGCCAAAAAGAAGTCAGTCTCTTTCCCATCCTGGTCTCCAGGCACTCAGTATATCTCTCTATCCAAAGGCTACTGTGAGAAGAATCTAAAACACTGAGAATCTGAAACATGTTAACTGTTTTAAAAGAATCCACAGCCACTGTTCTATCATTTCAGATTATTAAGTGTTAAAATCTCATTTTCAAGAGCTTTTTAATGAGTAACAGTATTAAAATCCTATATTAAGACCTGGCCTTGAACACACCTAGACTGTCACTCAGGTATTCAAATCAGGAAATGATCTGATAATGGTGAATTGTAAGAATATTCTTACCATTCACCTTCCCAACAGCTGGTAGCAAAGAATAAAATGCACATTTTGACTAATTGCTCAGCTTGTGGGAGGAGTTATTTTAAAAACTGCTAAAAAAAATAATCATCCCAATTTTAGTATTTCCCACTGGGGGCATCACTGTGTTTTGGGCAGGAAGATTCTTCCCTCTTCCACACTGCAGGGGGCAGGCCCTGGCCCTACCCACTAAATGCCATTAATGACAACCTCAACAGACTTCCAAATACCCTGGTTTCAAACAACTGAGATAAATGAAATCCTGAGTTTCAAGAAGCCTGGGACAGAACATTTACTTTTTGGTTCCTTGAACAAAATTGCCTAGAGCCCTTCCTGTGTGTAAGGCACCAGGGACACACATATCAGTTCCTGTTCAAAATGAGCTTATCATCTACATTAATGGCTTTTCAACCTTTCAAGCAGAACCTTTTCTTTTTTTTTCTTAAAAGAAGATTCTTCCATGAAAGCCAGTGTATGAAATGAGTAAAAGCCGACAGCTGCTGTGTTTGAAGCACTGCTTTCCACCTCTGACCCCCAGGTCCAGGTTGTCATGAACACTGACAACCAACATTTTACATTCAAGCTATGAAGCCCCACTATAACTAATGGGCAAATGGAGCATCTCATTTAAAGCATAAATGGAATTTTGACAACATTTGCTCTTCCTTAAACTTAGGGAGAGAACTCAGCTTGTACCTCTTTGATAACTTGCTCTGGCTTCTGGACAGATAACTGCAATCTTTTTTGTAGGAAAAAACATTCTGTCTGTCTCGCAATATCTAGAAATTTCTGGATACACTGATCAACACCTTAAAAAAAAAGACCAAAGTATTAAATTAAGGAAAACACTAGACACATATATCTCTCTCATAAATCAACAGTTGGAATATCAAAACAGCACCTTCTTGTAGATGTAATCGGGGATTTTAATCCTGCCCACAGCAATATTACTGACCTCAACCCCCTATGTGTTAAGCAACATTAACTAGCAGATAATCTGTGCTTTTACCAGGTGAATAAGAAACCGAACTACAACGCAAAAGTTCTTCTGAAGAAAGACAATCCAGAGAGCCAACAATTAACATCATGATTTCCAGTTAAAATGAAACATTTAAAACACAGTACAAAGAAATCAGAAGTACCTCTCTCGGGACAGAACTTGGGTGAGGAAGGGGAAGCAAAAAATTTAGTTCTTTATTTTTTTAAAAAGACACAGAGGATTTCTTTTTAAATTTACTTATTTATCTTTGGCTGTGTCGGGTCTTCGTTGCACGCAGGCTTTCTCTAGTTGCAGCGAGCAGGGGCTACTGTTCGTTGCGGTGTGCAGGCTTCTCATTGTGGTGGCTTCTCTTGCTGCGGAGCACGGGCTCTAGGCGCACGGGCTCAGTAGTTGTGGCTTGTGGGCTCTAGAGCGCAGGCTCAGTAGTTGTGGTGCACAGGCTTAGCTGCTCCGCTGCATGTGGGATCTTCCCGGAACAGGGCTCGAACCCGTGTCCCCTGCATTGGCAGGCAGATTCTTAACCACTGCACCACCAGGGAAGCCCAACTTAGTTCTTTAAAAAGCAGTACACACTATTGGTCTTCTTTGTCTTGGTACCAATATGAAAAGCTCATTCATTACAAGTGGCTTATTATGAGTGACATAAGATGTCAATAAACTGAACAAAGAACCAGCAGTATATAGAGATTACAAAAATCTTATTCCCTGGAAAAGTTCTCTTAGGATACAAGCGGGACTGAAACACATCAAATGTAAAATCAGCAATGAGGGAATTCTTACCAGTTCGAATTTCTTCCTGATCTGTACCATTGACATAATCCTGACTCACCAGAGAAGCAAAACAAGCCTGTGTGATCAAAACATATTACAGAAGAAAAAAATGTCATTCACACATCAAGAATCTTACTTTAGAGTAAGAAATAACTTCTCTTGATGGAAAACGAAGGCTGAGCCGAGTCTCGCGAGAAGACTAGGTGGGTGATCCAGGTAGCACCTCTCCCCATCCTTTTCACTTGGCTAATTCCCAATGCCCGCCTGGGTTTCATGTTTTCTGGGAAGCCTTCCTTGACAGCCATGCCCAGATGTGCTCTCAGAGTATCCCGGGTTTCTTCTATCAGAGCACTGATCCCACAGCACAGCAGCTGCCTGCTATCTATCTGTTTTTTCCACTGCACAGTCATGAGCTCCTTGAAGGCAGGAACTGTTTTCTGTGTATTCTTAGCACCCAGGACAGGTCCTGACACATAACGGGCTCCTTCACTGTTTCACAAATATTCATCAAGCACTTGCTATCTGCTACCACTGGATTAGCACTACAGATACAATGAGAGGAGAGGAGGGCAAAACAGGTGTTCTCTGACTTCACGGAGCCTGATGTAGTGTGCTACAAAGAGCAGCAAGGCAGGGTCGATGCGGAAGTGATGTGTGAGCTGGGGGAGGGACCTGGGAGCCCAAAGAGAAAACGAACAACACAAGCAGAAGGTCTCTTGTGGCCAGAGTACGAAGAGATGGGTCTGGAGCAGAGACGTGAACACGCAGAGCTAGGAAGACCACAGCACCTCTTGGGCTATCCCCACAGCCACAGGTATCCACTAAAGAGTTTTAAGCATTAGAGTGCTGGTGGTCAGCTGCGGACTTTTTTCTACAGGGCCAGTGTTTCAGCAAGAGCTCATGATGAGAGCCACCTCCCCTCTCAGCGCTAGATGCTGCTCTAAAAGTTTCCTTTATGGTTTAGCCCCACCCCAAAGGCGTCTCATCCTCCTCCCAGACGGAAGAGATTTCTGTTCTTTAAATCTGTTGTCTCCAAACTTTTGAATGTACACCCCACCAGCAAAAACATTTTGTCCATGCAGCCCCAATAACACGTTCATTTACAAACTATGTTTATCAACTACTCTGCTATTATATACAGTATAAATGTCGACTAGGATTTAAAATGTAGAAAAGGTAATTCCAGTTACAAGTTATTTTATTTCCACACGTTAATGGCTCATCTTCCACTTTAGAGACCACAGGAAGCCATCTTATTTCTAAGCACTTATTTTGTACCTCTCTTTTGTCTGCTATCACTCCCCATCTTCTTTGGTACAGGGTTAATGCTTGAGCAGAACTCAGAGTTTGGGTCACCTCTGCCTCTCTCCTCACCCCCCAGCTTTCCTCCTCCTTCCTCGGCCCTGAGTACCAACTTCCCCACAGTAACTTTTTTTTTTTTTCTTTTGCGGTACGCGGGCCTCTCACCGCTGTGGCCTCTCCCGCCGCGGAGCACAGGCTCCGGACGTGCAGGCTCAGCGGCCACGGCCCACGGGCCCAGCCGCTCCGCGGCATGCGGGACCCTCCCGGACCGGGGCACGAACCCGTGTCCCCCGCACCGGCAGGCGGACTCCCAACCACTGCGCCACCAGGGAAACCCCTCCCACAGTAACTTTTAAATAACTCCCAGCTCCAAAAGTCCCACTACTTTAGGACCGTTTAAGGGTGGAGCCCAACGGAAAGAATACAGGACATAGGGGTGGACGCTACAGTCCGGAGAGGATGAGCACGTACTAAACACGCAGGGACGCGGGAAAGGATACTCAGGGATGGAACCAAGGATGGGGTGGGACGGGAACAACCCACTGAAAACCTAGAAGAGTCCCACGGTTGGGGGCAGACAAACTTCAAGTCCACGTGGCTCCAGAAATGTCAAGTTTAGGCATCTCTGCCAGCCAACTAGAGGAGAATTCCGGCCACCATTCAATGTGAAGACTAATGCAAGAGACTTACGTGCAGGTATCGCCGAAAGAGAGAAGCTGCGCGCGCGCACCATACGTTTCAGAAAAGAAGGGAGGCTGGGAACAGAGACGCCCACGTCTTACCTTACCTCGAACGATGACTCTAACTCGTCCACCAAGGTACTGTTAGAAGTCCTCGGAACGCCTGGTGTGGCCTGAAGAAGCGAAGCCTGGGCCAAGAGGCCCGGCGGGGGTGGCGGAGGTCCCGGTGGCTGCCCGGAGAACATGCCTCCTAGTGGAGCCGCCATTTCTAAAATGGCGGCTAAGAGGCTCACTGCGCCTGCGCGGGAGCTGGGGCCGCGGGTCACGTGATGTGGATGGTCACGTGATGTTGTTGAGCGCACGTTGGCGTCTGTTGGACGCCCAGGAAAGCTATTGTTTGGTGCTTCGTGCCCTCTTCTTTACGTTACGCAGGCAAGCTGGCTTTTACTTCTGCTTTTTTAACTTGAGAATTGAAGGCTTTGATAGGGTTTAACACAGTTGTGTGAAGAGGAGAATCAGTAACCACGGTGGGGCGAGCCCTCTGGCGGAGTCAGGATATTCCTGTACCAGCCCCGCCTTTGCTCTCAACTCTTGAAATGACTTTGGCCCAGTTGCTTTCTCTGGGCTCGGTTTACCCGTTGGTAGAAGGGAGGTGCTCATCCATCCCACAAACATTTATTGAAAGCGCACTGTGTGCCGATTACTAATCCAGTCACTGTAGCGGGAATAAAGAGGAAACATGTCCCCTAAATTTTCCTTTGGGAGATACAGGTAACAAAACTGGCTTAACATTGTTGAGGCTCCCTGTCTTATGTGCTGGGAGCTATTTGCTTTAGATATTTATGGTTACATCAAAGAAAGTCACTATGCTAATCTTTTTTTAAAAACATTTGCTTATTCAACTTTTCAGAAGCTAAATATTTTTTCATTATAATTAACTTTACAGTTATCATCCAGCATATCTGTTGAGCCTTCCATGTCCCAGGCTCTATTTACTGATCTGAGGGTTATAGCAATCACCCCAAGTTTCTGCCCTTGGAGAGTTTACCATTGTTTTGTGGGAGAGAGATCAATAAACATGTACATATATAAAGTGAAATCATGTAAAGATAAGTGCCAAGAAGGAAAATAAAGCCCAGTAAGGGGATGACTAATGTTGGATTTTATTTAGTTTTTTTTTTGGCTGCATTGGGTCTTCATTGCTGCATGCGGGTGTTCTCTAGCTGTGGTCAGCGGAGGCCGCTCTTTGTTGTGGTGCAGGGGCTTCTCATTGCAGTGGCTTCTCTTGTTGCGGAGCGTGGGGTCTAGGGTGCGCAAGCTCAGTAGCTGTGGCGCACAGATGGGCTTAGTTGCTCCGTGGCATGTGGGATCTTCCTGGACCCGGGATCAAACCCGTATCCCCTGCGTTGGCAGGCGGATTCTTAACCACTGCGCCACCAGGGAAGTCCCAAGTGATGGATTTTAGATGGGTGGTTGGAGAAGGCCTCTCTCAGGAGATCTGCACTGGAGTGACTAGAGTAAAGTTTAATTAGGAAAGTTTTCTAGACGGGGCGGGGGGGCCTTGAAGAAGGAAACTGCCTGGCATATTTAAGGAGCTACAGAGAGGCCAGCAGGGCCAGAGTGAGTGAGGCAGGCAGAAGTAAGGAAAAAACAGAGGCTTCCCATTGCCAGTCAGGTCTCAGATCAAAAGTCACCTTCCCAGCGTCAGTCTGATTGGACCCACACTCCCAGCCATTTCACCCTGTTTAATATTCTTTACAGCACTTGAACACTTACCTGAAATTATCTTGTTCATTTTTCTTCTTCACTGACTAAGTTGCCTTGCAGACATGCACACACGCACACAACACGCGAACTGGAAAACAAGATCTATGTGATCAGGGCCTGCCTGTCTTGGTCACCTGTATTCCCAACACCCAGAACTGTGCCTGGCATAAAATGGACATAATAAATATTTAATTGAACACAAATAGAATGCCATGAGGGAACTTAGTGTACTCCAGCAGTTCTCAAACGTTTTTGGACTCCTTTACACTCCTAAAAAATTATTGAGGACTCCAAATGTTTTTGTTTATGTGAGTTATGTTGGGCAATATTTACCTATTAATTAAAAATAATAGGTAAATATTAAAACAGAATTTTAAAAATATATTCATGTAAAAATAAGCCGATTATATTAACATAAATAATATTTTAATTAAAAATGTAACTATTGTATACAGTGAAAAATAGAGGAGTGGAACCATTTTACATTTTACTCCTGGGTTTCCAATGGCCATAGGGCTGCTTGAATTCTGGATTTCTTACTTCAGCTATCTTTTAACACTACTGTATTCTAAACCGCTGCTTTGGATTTGCTGCTCTCTGAAGCCACGGCTCTCTCAAGCCCTGCCTTGTCCTTAGTGATTTAGATGCAGATTATACCACCAGTGTCTGGAACATCATTCTAAGGATCCACCAAGGTTTTGTGAGTACCTGGTAGCCAGATGCACCAGCAGTGGCAACTAAATTTCATCTCAACCAGATTAGATAAGCACAAGAATCTAGGACTACAACCATGCCTTTTGTATCTCACACTCTAGTAAACACAAGAGTTCTATTGTTCTTTTACTTATAAAAAGCCTTTGATAGAAAGGTCAAATCCCTATTTGGTCTTCTGAGAATCACACAGAAGAAATCTAAATGTTTTTAGTTTCCTTTCACAAGCCGGTAATTCCACCTCTCCGTTTCCATCTTTTCTGCTGAAGTAGCTTCTGGATATAGATACCCAGAGGAACCTGTGTTTACACACTATTCCTGCCTGATTTTAATTAATTTAAATTCATGTTATTTATTAACATGGATATGCATGTCCATTGTCATTCCCTCTCTAAAAGCCAGTTTAGACACATAATATCCATTTACATGTCAAGTTTTTAAAATATTAAATGTTAAAAATAACTCCAATTAAAAAAAACTGTCAAACGTTGTCAAAGTCTTAAAAAAAAAATAGATCCTATTTGTGGGTAATTTGATTCACCCAATACAAATGTAGCAGAAATTTAACCCCAGGGCTTCCCTGGTGGCGCAGTGGTTAAGAATCCGCCTGCCAATGCAGGGGACACGGGTTCGAGCCCTGGTCCGGAAAGATCCCACATGCTGTGGAGCAACTAAGCCTGCACCACAACTATTGAGCCTGAGCTCTTGAGCCCGCGCGCCACAACTACTGAAGTTTGCACACGCAGAGCCCGTGCTCAAGAGAAGACCTAGCTCGCTGCAACTAGAGAAAGCCCGCGCACAGCAACGAAGACCCAATGCAGCCCAAAAATTAAATAAAATAAATTTATAAAATATAATAAAAATAAAAATACTTAAAAAAAAAATTTAAACCCAGGCAGTCTGCCTCCAGAGCTGGCATTCTTAATTGTTCCACTGCAATGCTTTCAGTTCAGGGACTTGAATGGATGTGGAATTTATTTGGAAATACTGAAAGAAGAAGACCATAAAAGGGACTGTCAATGGGTAAACTATTTACTTACCACCTGGAACTAAAACCAATCAAAATTCCACTTGTGCAGATTTAGAAGGAAGCTCTAGGACTTCCCTGGTGGCGCAGTGGTTAAGAATCCGCCTGCCAAGGCAGGGGATGCAGGTTTGAGCCCTGGTCCGGGAAGACCCCACATGCCACGGAGCAACAAAGCCTGTGCGCCACAACTACTGGGCCTGTGCTCTAGGGCCCGCGTGCCACAGCTACTGAGCCCAAGTGTCATAATTACTGAAGCTTGCGTGCCTAGAGCCAGCTCTCTGCAACAAGAGAAGCCTCTGCAATGAGAAGCCCCTGCTCGCCGCAACTAAAGAAAGCCCGCGGGCAGCAACAAAGACCCAACACAGCCAAAAATAAAATAAATAAATAAATTTATTTAAAAAAAAAAAAAGAAAGCTCTACTGCTTTCTGCTCTCCCACTTATTAGCTTGGTGACATCGCTGGCATGTTACTAACCCCCATCTTGTGCCTCATTTTCCTCATCTGTAATGTGGGGATAATAGTACCGCCTCACAAACTCATAAGCTCATCACTGAGTGCCCCAAAGTGATCATTAACATTGAAATCCAACTTAGTTCATATAACACAGCCAGAAGAGACAAGTTATAGCATCACTGGGTTTATAATAATATATAAGTAAACCAGAGCCACACCGGGGAGCACAAGAAGTTGGATTTATTGTTTCTGACAACTGCATAGCAACTTTTAGTTTGCTCATATTCCCAGCATCACAAATCTGAAATACAATTTTGCTCCTCAATTACAAACATATACTCTGAAAAGTGATTAGGTAGCTTTTAAAAAATCATCATTATTCATTTAAGAGAGAGTATCTTAAAAATCTTTGCCAAGCAAGGTATCAGCTTTACCTTTATAAATCTCTGCATAAAATGAGAAACAAATCAAGGCATACAAATTTCATTTTGTTCTGTGTTTTTAAATACCATCCTTTGTTTCCCTTAAAAGATTTTGATCTATTCATTCAAAAGTATTCTGAAGCTCTACTGCCTGTTGAAGACAGAATGAAGGCATTTTAGAGCATCTGAACTAAGCACTGTCTTGACTGAACCGAAGCAGGAACTCAATCAGGGTCCTCGTGGGCCTCCCAGCCATGCCTTTGCGCAGATAAGGAACCTCATCTTTGTTGGTCATCACACCTGCTATGTCTAAATGCGCCCACTTAGGATGAGTCACGAATTCTTTCAGAAACGCTGCAGCCGTACATGCTCCTGCAGATCTGAAGGGGAAGACAATAATCAACATTTAACCCCATGTAAATGTGCACTGAACGTTCTATTAAGATCCTCCATTCCTGCTAAGTGGCTTCTATGGCCAGAGAGCAAAGTCAAGGTCTCTAATGAGACCTCTTAAGATGTTAACCCAGAAACCACTTTCAAGATTTTCAGACATAGCTTTAAGCATAAAGGATAAATTCTTTTTCCTACGGTAACGACCATATTTGCATCTCATTCCCTTACCATTTGCTTAAAATGACCTTTAGATTTGAAAACATGCAAGATTTTGAGAACCAGTTGGGAAATACCTTGAAAATAAAAGACAGAAATTAGTGCTTACAAGCACTACATCAAAAGAAAATTGGACAGCTAAACCTTTTGTGAAAGAGGATTAAACTGAAAATGGTCATTCTGGCAACCAATGATGACTGTAAAAATGTACTTTTATAGCTTATTTTACATACCTATATTTTCCAATGTTATTAACATCAGCAAGCTGGCAATCTACAACCTGTCTTGTGTA